GGGTGAGCGGAGTGATGTGATTACACTTTTTTAGGAGCTTCTGAAACAACAGAAAAGTGCAGTCTTCTCGTAAAAGCCTCCAACAACGCCCGTCTCTCTGTGGATCAGCAGCCAAACCGCGCTGAGAAATCTCTCCATGAAAGGCCCAAACTGAGATGATGGATAAGTTTACTCCCTGATTACACCGAGAGGCTCTTTTCTCCCAGCTCTGCTTATATATGTATCTGTTTGACTTATTATGGCCTGGATATCCTAAGCAATCCATCTCCTCTCAAGAAAACCGAAGCTTGGATCAGACGAACGGCTGAGAGGAGCGTGACTTTTACCAAACAGCAACAACACGGGCGACTGGGAGGAGGGAACACACACAGATCAATGCACACGTTAACGCAGGGTCCGAAATTAAATTTTTTACTCACCGGCCAAGTTGGCCGGTAGATGATGAAAATCTACCGGCCAAAATTCTAAATGATTTAGATCCACCTAAAGCATGTTATTCTATATTATGTTGATTCCAAACAGAGTGACAAAATAATTAAAACATCAATTAATAAGGAAAACAACTCTTGTCATTTTTACTATTTATTTATTTATTTATTTATTTTTAGAGATGTTTTTATGAACTCTTTCATTGAAATCTAGTCAGACTCCTTGTTTTCTCTGTCCATGAAGTCTGGCCTCCAGCTTCTGACACCGTCTTTGTGCCAAAGCCTCATTTGGGTCATAGTCCTTGATCTCTGGAGAACACAGCTGCACCATGAGAATATCTGAAAGTGTGTCAGGGCTAGGGTTGTCACGGTAACCGGTGTAGCAGTAAACCCCGGTAAAAAAAAAGTTGACAATAATAACAGTCTTGTTTAAAAAAAATATCTCGGTGGATTACCGTGGCTGCGGTGTAGGCGCGGTGACCCTTACCAGCCACCGTATCACCTGTTGGAAGTTGCCGGCGGCACATGCGCACTTTGTTGTTTACGACCAAAACTTTCTTTAAGCTAAAGCTGAAATAATGGCAGGAGGAGACGGCAGTGCTCGGGACATTTATTATCCCTCAAAGAAGACAAAGTCGGAAGTACGGGCATTTTTTTTTTGATATTTGAAGAATGCAGAGGGCCAGTTGTCTGTGAAATGCAGCAACGCTACGTGGCCATCATAATGTAGCCAGTGTCTCACGACTCCGCCGTCTCCATTTCGCCACTTTTCACAAAATCTTCTGGTTGCCACTGGTCCTGGTGGTTTTTCTTTCAGTTCGACGAGTTTTCTTTTGGAAGGCTGGCTGACTCCAGTTAAAAACCGCCACATTTCACCGCTAGTTTTAACACAAAGCTAATGGCTAACTTGATAAACTGATTGAATGGGATAGGTGGAAATGACGTTGGATGCGGCGTTCACGTTTCGCGTACGTTTGTGTACGCTGCATGCAGGCGGGAGGAGTATCAGAAATCCGTGGAAGATGACTGATAAACATAACTAATTTGGTGCAAACATTTACTCGCCAGGTGGCAGGTAGAGCTCAAAAATTTACTCGCCAAATGGAGCAATTTACTCGCATTTGGCGAGTGGCGAGTGTTAATTTCGGACCCTGCGTTGATGTCACTGTTTGTTACTCAAAACTGTTAATTACTGATCCGTCCTGGTTTCAGGTTTATGCTCACAGTCAGAAAAGTCAAGTTTCCTTTAAAAATTTGCAGTAATAACGGAAGGTTTTGATTTGGGAGGAAGAGGTGAGCAGCTTATCAAAACGTTGTGGCTGAACTACGTGTGACAGTTTCTGATTCCAGATCAGAGGGGATCAAAGTCAGCTTTCAGGTTTCCCATTCCCTGTGACCTCCTCTCCCCTCGCCGGTTTCATCCACGTTTCAACATCTCAAAGACGGCGCGCCGGCAGGGGGTCGGGACAAGTCCTCCACAATGGACCCTCCAAGGCTTTGAAGAACATATTAATAAAAATAAAAAAAAACTTCTGCCTTCCAGTAAGTTTGAAATCAGTGAAACGTCCCGAGAGTTTCCAATTGTTTCAGTCAATAATAACCCGCAGGCCCTGTAAGCAGCAGCAGCAACGTTGTCAGCACATTCTCATAATGTGCTCATTGAACTTCCATCAGAAACGGTTCCTGCAGTTTAATTTTGTGCATTTTTCCTGAAAATTGCTGGTAATATTCAAGATGTGGAAACATATCAACATCTGGGGCAGGAGCCAGAAACTCAAACCTGGACAGCAGCCAGCTAGACCAGCAAAAACAGACATTACCGGAGATGTAAAGGCCCGAAACGTCCAGTTAGAACTCAAACATCCAAGTTTCTGATTAATGACACGTTAATGTTGAAGCAAAGGGATGAAAATCGGTGTTAAAGGTCAGATTTCCTCCTTTACCATCTCAGTAAACACCAAAGAGGGTATACAAATGGGAGTTTAAATGACAGCCTTGTCCTTCAGACCCAAACCTCTAAGTTGTTCTTTAAAATTCAAACTTCTCTTGGACCTTTTATACAAGTTTGAAGACATTTGAGACACAGAACTCCAACAATCCTGCTCAGATTTACAGTCGGTAAGACAAACACTGACCAAATACTGAAGTAGGGTCATCAGAGGCGGGTTTTGCTTTAAGTGCACCAAAACAATGACAAATGGTCAACATTCCCTTCAGAAGCATATGAAATATTCTGCATGACTAAAACCTCTAAGTTAGGGTTTACTGGCCAACCGCAAACACAAAGTGGTGGAAAAACCATCAAAAATCTGGGTTTTGGGGTGGGGCACCAGACTCTGCATCGCTCTGTGTCTACGCGGCCATGACATGCTAGATGTTCCATTAGCCTGCAAAGCTTAGGCTCTATACGGTTTGTAGAACTACGTTGTGTTTAAGTTGTGGTTGATCAAAGAAATGATTCTGTACATTTTATTAACTCGTTCACAGCCAATGACGATTTGCATATTTTTTTACTGTGTGGGTGTCGGACGAGCCCCCGCGCCATGAGAACAAACATCTCAGCTCTGAAGCTGATCTTCATCCGCATACGTCACATGTCATGTGATCAGGAAGCAGAACATCCACGTGTTAGGAGATCGTTTTGGGCCGCTGCTGTAAAAAAAGTGAGGCGCGAACCGGAAAAGCTTCTGCTGATCACAATTCAACAACGGATTATGAAAGAACGAATAAGGCTCGAAACATGCGGGTTCTTCCTGATGTAGTTGTTTTGGTTGTTTTGGCAACGGCATCATCCTAGCGTGCAACGTAACTTAAAAAACAGTAAAAACGGCGAGAAACGCTGGCAGCGAATGAGTTAAAATACATTTACTTTTCGAGTCAAACCTTTGTGGTTTTCATAAAGAAGAATAATGTTTGGTTTGTGAGAACATGAATGTAATTTAGTAAAAGCGGTGGTCTTCCCTGGGGGGCAGTGGGGTGGCCTATAGTTTTCCATGGCCCCCCCTTTGGCCAGCCCTTGGGGCACCACTGGATGGAACGCCAGGGTTAATCTGTGAGTGACTGGTTGTCATCGTGTGTCCCTGTGATGGACTAGAGACCAGTAAGCTATGTTTTAACTAAATTTCGGTGAGTCTGGCTTTGTTTTGGCAGGCTTGGATGGGACTGATCAGCTGTAGCTTCTATGAATGCTGTCTGAGAACACCATTAAAACCCGAGCTAATCTCCTAGTCTCTGCAACTCCACGTAACCGATACGACCACCTGCTCCAAGCTCGTCTGACATCGTTTTATTCCACCATTGTATCTCATTACAGAGAAGCGCCACCAGCTGAGTGAGGCAGATGTTCTATTGTGGAGCACAGCAGCTCCGCGAGCGGCCCGCATCCATCCGAGTGTCTCCGTGCTGCAGCTGACAGCCACGGATGAACAAGGACAATCCGTCACCACGAGGAAAGTCAAAGTGATGATGATGGGAAGCTAAAAGGAACGTAGGAACGCTGGGAAAATCTCGAGATGGGAGATGTCTCTGGTAATATCAGTGACACAACGTGGCAAAAGCGACGGTTTACCAGCAGAATTTAAATAATGAATCTGGGCTGCCCTGTGGCCGTGCTGTTAAAGGCTGCTAATGGAAGCAGGGAGGTGGTGGGAGGACTGGGGCTGCTGGTGGCAAGTGTCCAGTCAGTCAGCGTTGGCTTTTGTGGCGGCTGACAAATGCCAGCAGACAGCAGACGCGGTGGGGAGGGCAGAGATCTATTTGCTGCAGCCTCATGCCGTGTTACTGTGAAATATCCGCTCCCAAACCGGCTGTAGCGGTCTCTGACGCTGTCCTGGGGAACGCGATGCAACACCAGCAGCTCATAAATCCACACCAGAAGCAAGAGTGAGTTTCAGGAACTTGGCCCGGGTAAATAATTTATCCCCGTGCGCACAGAGCCGCAGCGCTGCCATGAAAATATTTATTCACCCCCGAAACACAATCCAGAGGAAAGGTGTCCGTTAGGAGGAGGACAAGGAAAACCTGCTCAGTCATTGTTGGGTTTGTCCGACTGAACGGAGTCATTATCAGAGTCATCTGGCTCTTACTGCCCAGATGTGATCTCTGCTGCTCCAGACACATCTGGCCCGGTTCTGGTCCGCTTCACTGACCAGCGTTCAGGAAAAAACACTCCTCAGTCTGCCTCAGGAATGCTGCAGGACAGAGGACAGGTAAGGAAGGAAGGAACGAAGGAGGGTATAAATATACACTATATATATATATATATATATATAAGAGAGAGAGAGAGAGAGAGAGAGAGAGAGAAAGAGAGAGAGACAGAGAGAGAGAGAGAGAGATAGGCAGATAGTTTGGGTCCTCGAGGAGGTCACGGACAGCCCGGTCAGCAGATTCCGAGCTTCGTGCCGGTGTCGGGACCGACGATGGAAGGCGTTGGCGGCAGACGTTCATGCGCGCGGATGGAAAGTTGATGTTGGTGTCGAAGCTAATCTGGAACAAAGACTCTGTGGAGGACGGAGGCACCTCGTTCGTCCGTCTGTCTGTCTGTCTGATGCAGGCTGACAGCAACCCACTCACCTGACTTGGGAACGGCGTTTGGAAAACTCAGGTCGTCCTCGGCTACCCAGGAGAAGCTCCAGGGCCCTCGGGGAATCCCAGCAGCATTCCTGCCTCCCAAAGGCTCACCTGCAATGACAGAAAATTAGACTTTTAGATGGGAAGGATGAAGCAAAGGGAAGACGGGGGATTTCTGATGATCTGCTGCTTTATTCGGCAGCCAGTTCTGCTTTCCTGACGCTAAAAGTCTGAAAAAAAATCATCAAAATACAAAAGAAACCAAACATAAGACCTTTCCATGTCAAAAGTCAATGAAAGGATGAACCTTTATGAACATTTTATGGACTAATAGTCAGAAAATGCTTATTTACGTTACCGTTGAGTTAAGCTGCTGCATCCAGCAGCCACCACAAGAGGGAGCTGCAGCATAAAGATAGTTTAGTTGTGACAACTTCTTTTTAAAGCGTAGTTTCCAAACAGCTTTTGTGTCTCGTGAGGTTAAAACATTTCATTTGTGCCGGTTTTCCCTCTTTCTGCAGATTTATGTCGGTAAGATTCGACGCACCTGGCTTCGACCCAAGCTCCGACTAAAACAGTATATGATTGATGCAGAAGTAACGCGGCCGCCGCTCCCAAAACCGTTTTATCCGTTTTGTCGCAGAACAGCATCTCAGGAAAGTGCCGTGAATTGGTTCTTGGACATCGATATGCTGTATAATTACTCGAGGGCAGCTTTGTCTAATTCTGTCTGGCTCCATCTTCACCTTCCACACTCAGAGACTAATTATCAGCGGATCGAACGGAGTCTGATACAGTAAAGCAGAAGAAACGGCTCTCTCCTACATTCCTTGTAATTCCGGTGGTCCGCGGATAATTGCTGAACGGTCACAGGCCGATACGCCGCCGCCTGCAGACAGGACTCCTGCATAAATCCTGCAGTCGTTTTAAATGATCCTTACAGAGGAATTGATTGTAAACGCTGCTTCAGACAGGATTAAACGCAGCTCAGAATTTATTACGACTAAGAGCATCACTGGCATGTTAATATTACTAATGAAAATTTGATTTGTCTGCTCTGAGTGACGACCACTCGACTATTTGTTGTTGCAGCACTTTTAGGAGTTCGGTGACGGGCTGAGTTTGTCGGGAGCTGTTCGACCCTCTCAAGGGTTCGGTTTGGGTTCAGCAGCTGCTGAAACTGGATGGTTTGGAGGCCGCACGAGAGGAAGCTGCTGGAGCCCACTTCCTGGTTGGCTGCATGTTGCTGAAGAGCCTCTGGAAAAGCTGATGGGCCACAGGGGGAAGTGAGCAGCTGCTGAGAGATGGCTGGCTTCCTGACTGACAGGCGACTTTGGGTGGAAGAAGAACCGGACCAGTGGCTTTCATCTGCCTGGCAGCAACACCTCCTGATTCTGGATTATTGTTCATTTTACTCGGAGAGCACGGACATGAATCCGTCTGTCCCGAAACACAAACGTCACATTTCAACGGTAGTGGCTGAAATCTGCTTTTTTAAATGATTTTTCATCTGCTTAAGAAAAGCAGCGGAACCAGAGTCTCCAGGAGGATCATTTGTTAGTGATGTGCAACTGGGTTCTTGACAGGCGGGGAGCACGTCAGCCCCATTCTGGCATCCTAACACCGGCTCCCGGTGCGTTTTGGGGCCAAATTCAAGTTAACATTGGTGTACGGAGCTGTTCAGGGAGCTACACCATCATACCTAACTGGCCTCCTGCAGAGGCATGCTCCATCGCGGGTTCTTCACTCTGCTGATGGAGAGCTCTCATGGCCCGGGACTGCGGAATGAGCGGCCTCTGGCTGTGCACCAGTCTCCCATCTGAAGAAACAGTTTTATGTCAGCTCAGCTCTAGCATTAGGCCCGCCCACCATATGCGGAGCGCTGTGATTGGCCAGACACAAAACTGTTCGGGCCAATGGTAGACCTGCTGAGGCTACAACGGCTAGCCCGACCTGCAGAGCCAACTCTTTGGAGGTGGTTTTCTACGTCTCTATGGATGTTAAGGTGTTTCTGCAGCGGCGGCTTGGTTCCTGTGGTTCTGTTTCTTTTGTCTGAAAACTAAACACAAGCCAGGAGAGAATCTGCTGATTGGTCAGATTGTCTTGGGGCAGAGATACGAGAAGTAAAAAGAAGAATAGGGTTGAGTGTTTAGATCCTGAGCTGGTTAATAACACCACTTCCCTCATGCGGTCCGGAGGGGTGAACCGGGACACCTGTGCGGGTTTTAGAAACGGAACACACCTGAAAACCTGAGTATGGCCCAGGGCTGCAGCTCTTCAGCTGTCTCCTTTATTATTTTACCTCCTGGTTTTTACCGTCTGCTGAGCAGCCAAATGGAGACTCTGCAGCATCATTAGTTTTCCTGTCTCCCTGGGGGGCGGAGCCTCTCAAGTCAAAAACCGGTCATTTACTTACAGGATCTGAGTTATGTTGTATGATTTCTCTAAAACTTTGTTATTTTTGTTTAATAGACTTTTAAAAACACCTCAGTGTTTATTTTTGTACTTAGCTAATTTCAGCTTTACAAAATCTGGAGCTTAGCTCCAGCCGAACAGCAGATTTGCTCCAAAATGAGTTCACAACATGAATGAAATGTCTCCAGATAAAGCAAGCTGAAGCTTTAGGAAGTGACCCTGCCAAAGTTTAAATCAGTTCATTAAAGAATTGTGCCAAACACCATAAACGCATACATTCTGCAGATGCTAAACTAAATCTACAGTAAAAAACTAAGTTTTACAATCAAGTTTATAATCTAAATAGAGCTCGTTTAGACGATGTTGCTGCAGGAACCAAATCTGATCAACTGGTGAGGTTGTCGGCAAATTCACCCACAGATTTTCTCCCTCGTGGCTTAAATTATTTATGAGGTCGTGTTCGATCCACAACGCTGAAACCATCGTCTCTTTTTAATGTCGCTGGAAAAATATTCATAGAAAACATGAAATCTCCACATATTCAAAGGACGGTCCTGATGCAGAGAGATTGAGTGGGACTATCATCTGGATCTCAGAGTGTTGGGTGATGTCCTCGAGGCTCCAGCACTGAAATGTGAATGAACCTGTTTCTGTGCTAAAATTATAAACAAAAACAACTCACTGCAGGTGGAAGCTGGTAGATCAGACTGTATCCAATAAACATTCAGTATTAAGTAGTTAAACCTTGAAACGGTCCTACGTATGTAAATATATGGTGTGACCATTGAATTGGCTCACTCATGGGGCGGAAACAAGGGTTGTCTATCAAACAGTCTCTGCACACAACTCGTTTAATAAATCGTTTAAAGTTAATGCCAAAGCCGTTTAAAACGAGCGCTGTTGTGGAGTCGACATCTTCGTTTTCTCAGCTCTAGCGTTAGGCCCGCCCACCATACGCAGAGCGCTGTGATTGGCCAGACACATAACTGTTCAGGCCAATGGTAGACCTGCTGAGGCTACTCTTTTTGTTACTGCGGTGATTGTAGGCTAGCAAACAGCCACGAGCAACATTTTTAAAAATGAATAAAAGTACAAAACCTCTGAGAACCATCTAGGCCTCGGGTTGGACACCACTGACAGACGCGCCACCACGGTAAATAACAGAACTCTATGTAAATAAGTCTGAAAAAGTTCAAGTCATCAAAAAATTTATGAAAATCTTTTTGAAGATTTTTCTTTTTTCAAGATGGCAGCTGACCTGTGACTAGCCTTTAGCGTATCAGTCCCAAAGGATGTAAACCTTATTCCATTTTTGGTTTGTTTTTAAAAGTTTCATTCGCGGCTGCAAACTTCCTCAGAGCTGACGCTGATGGTGGCGTCACTTCCTACTCCGTTTATCCGCGGGCAGCAGAGGACGTTGTCGCCCTCTGCTTCCCGCTCTCCCCTCTCCGATGATGCAGTCCCATGCACGATCCAATGTGTAGACCCCATCGTCTCTGTTCATGGTCCCGCATCCACGTCTCCTTATCTCTATGGCTTCCTTTATCCATCTTTTGTAGTTTTTTTAAGTTTGCAGCCGCAAACGAAACTGTCAGCAAACAAGGTAATAAGAAACCGTTTCTGTGTTTTAAAAAAGAACCAAAAATGGAATTAGAAGTCAAACACAGCAAGAACGTGCCAAGGATGTAAACCTTACTTGCCCAGAAAAAGGACATACTGTAGCTATAATATTATTATTTACAACTTTCACACATAAAAGAACCGTAAAACTTTGTTTCAACTTCAGATTTTCAGCCCACAACTGAAGCAGGAGACAAACAGGTTGAGAGTGGACAGTAGTAGACGTGATGTATGTGCTGCTCGTGGCCTTTGCTTCCCAGCGGCGCAACGGTCCAGAAACGAAGGTAATTACCCGTGAGAAGTGGAAGAAAGGTAAGCGCACGGCCAGTCTGGCCTACGCCGAAAACACAAAGGTCCTAAAACCAGTTCAGGCTGATATATTTGTCATAAAAGTCACGGCTTGCTGCGAGAAGATTAACAAAGACATTTGGAGATGTAATGAAACACAACTGGAGTATCAAGCAGTTCCAGCTAATTAAAGGGGAAATGAGGAAGACAGCCATTTGGATTTTCATACATCTCATGCCTCTGCGCCACTATTGTCCTCTTCTTTTATCCCGTTAATTAAAGATTTACCAGGGGATGCATACATTACTGCCTAAATAAATTGATTACCTGTCCGGCCCAGTGACGCGCCATTAGATGCTCGTCAAAGTCTGCCAGCGCCGCGTCAGGCGGCCGAGGCCTGGAACCGGCTGCTCGCCTTCGACTACAAAAGACCGCATTGATTTCCATCAGTGGAGCTCTGGTGTCCACTAAGCACTCTGACTTTCATTAAGACCTTCACACAACTCCACACACACTGCTCCCTAACCACCCACATACGTGTGTGTGTGTGTTCACACACCGTATCATGAGGGGTGGAGGTAAACAGCAGGACGCTGATACTAAACTATTCTTTATTCTAGCTGTTAGAGATCACGGGTTAATAAAAGGTTAACTGTTGTCACCTAATCTGCCCGGTCCGGAGATGTTTTCTGGGATTTTCGTGTTAATGCCATCAAACCTCGTCGTGTAAACACAGTTTTAGTTCACGATGCAGCTTATTAACTCAGAGTTCTGCCTGTAAAACTCAG